AAAGTTCTCTTATTTAGACCAACTTTTCTATAGAAGAAGTTGTCTTATTAAGAGCAGCTTTTCTATAGAAAAATTTGTCACAATCGAGAAATTGTTTTTAATTATTTTTGTAAAATTCTATTTGTTCTTAAAGGTTTGCTCTGGAAGAGTATTAAAAATATTCAGACCAGAAGAATTAATGGCTATGGTAGTGGGCAATGAGGAGTACGATTGGAAAGCTTTAGAACTTAATTGTGAATATAAAAATGGTTATACATCCAGTGATGACACGGTATGTGAAAAAGATTTTTGGGAAAAACTTGAAGTGAATATCAAATTGTACTTAACAAAATATTTCTTTTTAGATTAAATGGTTTTGGGAGGTTTTCCAAGATTTACCTTTAAAAGAGAAAAAGAAATTTTTGTTATATTTGACAGGTAGTGATCGTATACCTATACAGGGTATGAAAGCTATTAAAGTAAGTGAAAGCTATTTTAATTTAATAAAATTTTAATTCAACTTGTTAAAATTTTTCTTTATTTTCAACAGATTTGCATACAACCCACAAATGATGATAAATTTTTACCAGTGGCTCATACTTGTTTCAATCTCTTGGATTTGCCACGTTACAAAACCAAGGAACGTCTGAAATATAAACTATTACAAGCAATACAACAAACTCAGGGTTTTAGTTTAGTATAACACTACACACACATACCATGTTTAACACATAAATACCGAGCTTGCTCTAATATCTTTTTATACTATGGCTTGGATGTTTTTGTTATGCTTTTTTGTCACACATTTTTTTTTTTAGCTCCACACTGTTCATCCTCATCAGCTCATATTAATAATTTAGTTTGATTAATTTAAGACAATTGAATTTTTGAATGACAATATTGTTATACTATACACATTCACACATTGTGGTTTATTTGAAAAATATTACGTTTTGTTTTTGGAATCTTAATTACTGCTGCCACTTTTAGTTGCAAATGGTTAGCATATTAAAATTTAACTCATCTATATTTATTTATGTTATGGAATTACCAGAAAACAAGACAAGGAGGTCTTTTGGTTAAAAAAAATAATAATTTGGCTTTTACGACTGATAATAATTTATAAAAGAGAAATCAACGGAAATATTTAATAAAAAATTTATATGCATTTTAAATGAAATGAAAATTATGAAGTTTTATTTAACGACCTATAACTAAAAAGTTTAAAATTTTATAAACAGTAAAAAAACTACTTCTCTATAGAACGAGTTTTCTTAATAAGAGCTACTTTTTTATAGAATAAGTTATTTTTTTAAGAACAACTTATCTATGGAAAATGATATTTGTTTAAAAGCATATTTTCTGTAGAAAAGTTGTCTGTTTAAAAACAACTTTTCTATGGGAAAAAGTTTGATCTTTGGAAATAGATGTTTGATTTAGAGCAACTTTTCTATAGAAATAGATATTTGATTAAGAGTTAAGTTTTCTATAGAAAAAGTTGTCTGATTAAAGCAAAAAAATAGAAAAAGAACATTTTTTTTATGTAGAAAAAGTTGTCTTATTAGAGCAACTTTTCTATAGAAAAAGTTGACTTATTAAGAGCAACTCTTCTATAGAAAAAGTTGTCTTATTAAGAGCAACTCTTCTATAGAAAAAGTTGTCTTATTAAGAGCAACTTTTCTATAGAAAAAGTTGTCTTATTAAGAGCAACTTTTCTATAGAAAAAGTTGTCTTATTAAGAGCAACTTTTCTATAGAAAAAGTTGTCTTATTAAGAGCAACTTTTCTATAGAAAAAGTTGTCTTATTAAGAGCAACTTTTCTATAGAAAAAGTTGTCTTATTAAGAGCAACTTTTCTATAGAAAAAGTTGTCTTATTAAGAGCAACTTTTCTATAGAAAAAGTTGTCTTATTAAGAGCAACTTTTCTATAGAAAAAGTTGTCTTATTAAGAGCAACTTTTCTATAGAAAAAGTTGTCTTATTAAGAGCAAATTTTCTATAGAAAAAGTTGTCTTATTAAGAGCAACTTTTCTATAGAAAAAGTTGTCTTATTAAGAGCAACTTTTCTATAGAAAAAGTTGTCTTATTAAGAGCAACTTTTCTATAGAAAAAGTTGTCTTATTAAGAGCAACTTTTCTATAGAAAAAGTTGTCTTATTAAGAGCAACTTTTCTATAGAAAAAGTTGTATTATTAAGAGCAACTTTTCTATAGAAAAAGTTGTTTTATTAAGAGCAACTTTTCTATAGAAAAAGTTGTCTTATTAAGAACAACTTTTCTATAGAAAAAGTTGTCTTATTAAGAACAACTTTTCTATAGAAAAAGTTGTCTTATTAAGAGCAACTTTTCTATAGAAAAAGTTGTCTTATTAAGAGCAACTTTTCTATAGAAAAAGTTGTCTTATTAAGAACAACTTTTCTATAGAAAAAGTTGTCTTATTAAGAACAACTTTTCTATAGAAAAAGTTGTCTTATTAAGAGCAACTTTTCTATAGAAAAAGTTGTCTTATTAAAAGCAACTTTTCTATAGAAAAAGTTGTCTTATTAAGAGCAACTTTTCTATAGAAAAAGTTGTCTTATTAAGAGCAACTTTTCTATAGAAAAAGATGTCTTATTAAGACAACTTTTTCTATAGAAAAAGTTGTCTTATTAAGAGCAACTTTTCTATAGAAAAAGTTGTCTTATTAAGAGCAACTTTTCTATAGAAAAAGTTGTCTTATTAAGAGCAACTTTTCTATAGAAAAAGTTGTCTTATTAAGAGCAACTTTCCTATAGAAAAAGTTGTCTTATTAAGAGCAACTTTCCTATAGAAAAAGTTGTCTTATTAAGAGCAACTTTCCTATAGAAAAAGTTGTCTTATTAAGAGCAACTTTTCTATAGAAAAAGTTATCTTATTAAGAGCAATTTTTCTATAGAAAAAGTTGTCTTATTAAGAGCAACTTTTCTATAGAAAAAGTTGTCTTATTAAGAGCAACTTTTCTATAGAAAAAGTTGTCTTATTAGGAGCAACTTTTCTAAAGAAAAAGTTGTCTTATTAGGAGCAACTTTTCTAAAGAAAAAGTTGTCTTATTAGGAGCAACTTTTCTAAAGAAAAAGTTGTCTTATTAAGAGCAACTTTCCTATATTGTTGTTGTCTTATTAAGAGCAACTTTTCTATAGAAAAAGTTGTCTTATTAGGAGCAACTTTTCTAAAGAAAAAGTTGTCTTATTAAGAGTTGTCTTATTAAAAGCAACTTTTCTAATGAAAAATTGTCTTATTAAGAGCATCTTTTCTATAGTAAAAGTCGTCTTAATAAGAGCAATTTTTCTATATTTAAAGTTTTCTTATAAAGAGGAAACCTACATTTTTATAGAAAAAGTCGTGTGTTTAAGAGTAACTGTTCTGTAGGAAAAGTTGTCTGTTCAAGAGCAACTTTTCTATAGAAGAGTTTGGATATTGTTTTAGTCCCTATAATAAAAACTATTTACAATTTTTGACATTAAGTGCCACACAAAAATTTATTTACGTTTTTCTTTTTTTGTTTTTTAGAAAGTATTACAATTTTTTAGTTTTTTTTTTTTTTTTTAATTTACGTTTACGATTTTGTTTTTTGTTTTAATACATATATAATTATTAAATAGTAGTAGTAAGTTTTTTTTTTGTTTTTTCCTTTAATTTTTCTGAAAATTTTATTAGCACAAATATACTAAATTGTTTTTTTTTTTTTTTTTTGTTGTTTTTTCTCATAGGCTTATCAATAAAATGCCCAGTTAGTGGTTTTATTTAAATGTTATATGTTATAATTGATTTCTTTATTCTTATGATTTTTTTTATATTTCTCAATAATTCTTTTGTTGTAGTTTTCAAAACAATTACAATTACATACTGAACTGAGTCATTATTTGTATTATGTAGGGGAAAGAAGTGGTTGGTTGGTTGTTTGGTTTAGTTGGTTATTTTGGGGTATGATGTGGTTGCTTGATTTATGTGTTTTTTCTATACTATTTGTTTGTTACTGTAATTCGTTTATATATTAATTTATTATGAGTATGAGTGAGTTTTTTAAGTATTTGGTTTTTTTTTATAGCAAAAAGGTTGCAAACTTTAATGTTGTTGTACTTATTGTACGAGTAACAGCAAAAAACTACTATAAAAATTGAATTTTTTGGGCTTTTTGTTTTGTTTTTTTTTAAGGAGAGCTACTAATTGTTTTTAATTTTTGTAAATTTTTTTGTTTGTTTTTAGTTTTAACTTAAGAACAATAAAACTTGATTATTTATTTTTGATAAATTTGGTTTATAAGCATTTTGTTTGGTAAAAAAACTTAATTTTTAGTCAAAATATATAAAAAAAAAAATAAAGTGTTAAAGTTTTTTTTTAGTTTGTTTTGTGTATCTTTATTATTAATTAATATAATTACAAAAACAATTATAAATTTAAATTAATTAATGCACATTGATAGAGAGAGAGAATGAGTGAGTGTAGTATAAAGAGAAAAGAAGCTAAATAATAACAAACTTATTAAATTTAGTGAGGAATTTGTTTTAAATGTTTGAAAGCAAGTATTGTTAAAGGAATTACTAAATTCCTTTAAAAAATAAGTTTCAAAGAAAAAAAAAAACTTAAAAAAACTTTTTATTTCTTGTTTTTGTTATGATAAAACTATAAACAAAACTTTTTTGCAAAATTTGCCATGCATTGGCATTATCTTATCAGCAATCTTATATATAAAAAAATTTTAATTGATTAGAATTTAGGGTTTTGGGTAAAAGAAAGCAAAATTCTAAATTTGTAACAGGAATGAATAAACATGAAAAAATCATAAATATTAAGCAAAAGAAAGCTTAAAAAGAAGTATTTTTTGTAAGGAAAACAAAGACTCCTAAACTAAAACCCTTACACTTTTTAATTTCTAGCAGTTTAAACCTAGAGTGTTTATTCTGTATCATGATTCGAAAGAGAAATTTTTTAAGTTTTTCAAAACTTTGCCTTTGAATTGTTGCAATCTTTCTTTTGTAAATAGTATAATACTTTATATAATTGTGTTTTTTTAATAAAAAGAATAAATTTAAAAGACGTTAAACATCGTTAATACTAAAACTAATATGGCTATAAATGTTTTGTTAACAGAATTTCACAAATAAAAAGTAACTAATTATATTCGGCTAGGACGAATCTTTTATACCTTTCACCATGGTATATTTTAATAAAAATATTAATTAATGCGTAAACCTCAAAAAAATTTGCGGGTTACTGAGAAATTCGAATCGATAGCTAACAATTTCGATTATGTCTTTTAAAAACATTGAGTTTAGTAAACTTTTTCTTTTGAAAATACAGAGTAACCCCTTGATGATAATATGTCGTTGTCGTTGATCTTTAGAAACTCGATTTCAACAATTAAACTGAATTAAGGTCAGATGGACAGACAGACATTACAAATGGTTGGACAAACTTATCTATATGTATTCTTCTCAACAAGGTGAAAGCTATAAACGATTTTGTTTACTTTAAACTGTTAGAAAATAAAATAAAAAATATATAAAATTAACATTAAACTTTCAAACATTTAAACTTAAACTTTAAAATCCAGTTCTTAACAGATTATCTAGATGTTAATTAAAATCTTATTAAAATTCCAATTAGAATCTCCAAAAAATATGTTAAGAACTAGAAAATAATTCCCCAAACTTTGAAATATTATAAAATAAATAAATGTTTATGTTTCAGACTAATAAAGAACATTATAAAGTATTTAAAAAAGAAGTCATTAAGGAGCTCTTATTACTCCAACTGCAGTTGTGCAGTTATGTTATTGATATACTCACAGTTAAGCAAAATTTTATAATAAAACTGCTGATAGGTATATCTTTAAAATAACATATAAACAGTAATTAAATCAACTGGAGGTTAAACAATTTAATATCAAAAATCTATAATTAAAGGTTTTGGTTTTACGAAAAATCAGCCATTAACTTAATTTGAAAGCAAATACTTTTTAAAATAATACCTTTAATAAACAAATATTATAGATTATTCATATAAGGGAACTGAAACTATTTTATATAAAAAACAAAATAAGAAATTAATAAGCAAATTTTAAGCTGCAAATACACCTACAAACATTCTACAAGAAAAATAAGGTTAGTCATAGTTCTCAATAGAAAAAGTCTGAAGAAAATTATCCTTTTTTTTCATAAAATTAGAGTTTTAGTAAATGTTGTGAAAAACTTTTGTGGAAATAGAAAATATGGATTTTTATATTGAATCTGGTGATTTGTTGTTTTGTTAAACGTTAAAACACGTTGACCTGGTGACAATATTTTTTTGTTTTATCAAGGTCTGGAAGACCATATTGACTTCATACTTTATTGACTATTGCTACAATTAGTGTACAAAAAAATTGGTATTGTTTTTGTTTTGTTTTTATATATATATAAATATTGGCTGGCGGTTTACAATTACTCCTTTACTTGTCTGTCTATCTATCCTTGTTACAGCTAGTGCTGCAGAACGCTTCCTTTTTTCTTCCTATCCTTTCTATATTAGTGTGTATGTGTGTTTTTGCAAATTTTCTTTGTTTCAATGTAAGTTTGTTGTTATTATTATTATTTTTGCGTTAAAGTGTGTGCTTTTGTTTTTTCTTAAGAATTTCCAGATTTTTTGTGAAATTATAGTAACGTACATTTGCGTTTGGACTTGGGCTGCAAAACTGGACACAATACTGAACGTATAGCTTCATCGAAAACAGTCTTTAGGCCTTTTTGTGTCAAAGCTGAACACTCTAAATACTTAACAGCTCCAATCTCCTTGGCCATAGCCAATCCCTGGGGATAGGTGATGGGCGCCAGTTTCTTATCGCGCAACTTTTCAATGGTGTTCTTGTCATCTCGTAAATCCAATTTAGTACCCACTAATATAATGGGTGTGTTGGGGCAGTGATGGCGTACCTCCGGATACCATTTGGCTCGTACATTCTCAAATGAAGCCGGATTCACCAAAGAGAAACAGATCAAAAACACATCAGTCTGTGGATACGACAGTGGACGCAAACGATCATAATCCTCCTGGCCAGCTGTATCCCAAAGGCCCAGATTAATGGGCTTGGCGTCTACCATAACATTGGCCGAGTAGTTGTCGAATACGGTGGGTATATATTCTCCCGGAAAAGCATTTGTCGTATAACTGATGAGTAGACAGGTCTTACCGACTGCACCGTCACCCACCACGACGCACTTGATTGCTTGCATTTTTTTCTTTTTTTATATTTTCTTTATACTTGTCGTTTTTTATTTTCTATCTTCTCAAAACTGTTGAGCTTTTTATTAAGCAAAAAATTTGTGTTTAAAGTAGTGTGCTGTGGTTTTTATCAAAATTAATAATAAAATTTGTAGTTTTTAAATATAAAATATCTAAATATTTCTTTTTTCTATTTTTTGCACAGTAGAGAAAAACAATTTTTCACTTTACTAATAGAAGTCCCAAGTCACTTGAAAATACCGACGTTAAACAACAGGCGATGGCTGAATATGAGCCGAGTTGCCACTTGCTAAAAAATAACCAGTGTTAATATGATAACCAAATAACTGTGGACGTTTCAGGTTCTAATATGAATTTATCAGAGTTGTCAGAGTTTTTGTTATGGATTTTATGAATTAGGAGGGTAATTGGAAAAATTGATTAACGGGATTGTGATATTTAATTAAATCAGAAGTATTAATAATGTTAGTTGTTCTACTTGACATTTATAAATACATAAAATTTTTGAATTCGTTTGTACTGATCGCTTCGCTACCCTAATAAATTAAATACAATTTATATATTACATTAATGTGAAAAAATAAAATAAATGAAAGTATAAATTTTATGATTTTAAGATGAAATTTCAAAAGTACCATTTGAGGAGTGAAATAATAAAAACGAGTTCACTCTTATAAATTCTCAATCAACGTTAAATATTAATCCACTTATTCACAAACAAAATTATTTTATAAAAGGTTTATAAAACAAAATATCCATGCAAAATCTTTTTTATAAAGCGTTTATAAAATAAATATTGTGTTTGTAAATAAGTGGATAAATATATTAACCCCCTCCTTTTATAAAACGAAACGACAAACGTTCAAAAAAATGTGTATGGAAAAAATTCAAATTTTTAGTATTCAGTATTCTTTATACAAATTTTTTACGTTAACGAAAGTTTCGTTTTATAAAAAGAGGGAATTAAAAATAGTGGAATAAATTCTTCCTTGTGAAAAATGCAATTTAAATTTCGTTTAATTACTCTAAATAAATATGTTTTAAAAAAAGTTTCAAACTATTTACCCGAATTTGGTCCTATATTTTCCTTAGTACCCGAACTTCAAGTAGCATATTTTGTGTATGTAAATTAACAAATTTTTCAAGTTTTATGAAAATTGGTTTAATAAATTTGAATAAAACTAAGCTGTATTTCCCTTTTTTGGTACTCAAAATAGCAAGCACTTGATATAAAAAATAAATAAATAACAACAAAATGCTTATCTATCTATCTATCTATCTATCTATCTATCTATCTATCTATCTATCTATCTATCTATCTATCTATATATCTATATATCTATATATCTATATATCTATATATCTATATATCTATATATATATCTATCTATCTATCTATCTATCTATCTATCTATCTATCTATCTATCTATCTATCTATCTATCTATCTATCTATCTATCTATCTATCTATCTATCTATCTATCTATCTATCTATCTATCTATCTATCTATCTATCTATCTATCTATCTATCTATCTATCTATCTATCTATCTATCTATCTATCTATCTATCAATTTATCTCTACACCTGTCTACATATAATAGATCACGATTTCATTAGTTTCAATTGAATCAAGTTGATAGGAGAGTTTGTAATAAATTTTCATCAGAATGAAACTAAAGTATGTTCATATCGCTAAAATTCAATTACATCAAGAGTAACTGTTATCATATTTTAAAAATGCACGTTCGGTAAAACGTGACTTTGATTAGAGCATTAATTCTGTGTTGCCACATATTCACTAAAAAATGGGGCTAAAAAACAAGGCATTGACAGTTTTTTCTTATGCGAAATTTGAAAATTTTCCTCTCAAAAATATTCAAATTTAAATTAAAAAAATCGAAATAGTGTTAATAAGACTGAAATCTTTATTCGAAAAAAGCCGAATTCAAAAATATAAAATTAAGAATTTCAATTGAAATTGAGAAAATACTAAATAATATTGAGAAAATTCGTATTGAAATTGGGAATTCAATTTGATTTTGGAAAAATATCAGTTGAAATTAAGAAAAATTCAACTGGAATTTGAAAATTTAAATTGATATTGAGAAAATTTAAATGTTTAAATAAATATATTAGTACAAGCCTAAATTTTTAAATTTTTTACACCCATTTGGAAAAAACTGTGAAATATTTTTAGAAAATTCCTTTATCATTAGACAATTTAATTTCCCCTCTTTGAATTCCACTGAAAGATACATACATATATCTGGCAACCTTTCGTATTGTTTATGTTATTGCAATAGTTTCAAAAAGAATTTTTAGTTGATGCCAGGGAATTGTGAGTGTAAGATAATTTTTTAGTTTTATTAAAGAAAATGACCAGCAACGAAGTATATATTGTGGCCGCAGCTAGAACACCTATTGGTAAGTTGGAATTTCTAATTGTTTATTTGTTCGTCATTTACTATAAGTGAGAATTTTTATCAAAAATTTATCGTACCAAAGGCATGTATAATATTATTACGTGTCTTTTTGTTGGAAATTTTGTACAAAATATTTGGAACAAAGTGCGTATTGTTTAAGCAGAAATTGTATGTAATTAGATAACTTTCTCTTTTTTGTTTGTTTTTTGTTTTTTTTTTTTTTTTTGGTTAACACGTTTTCATCTAAAACTTTCTTTTGGCACTTTGTTTACACTTTTCATTTAAAGGTTCTTTCAATGGTGCATTGTCAAAGTTAAAAGCCTCCGATTTGGGAGCTGTAGTCATTAAGGATGTTTTGAAAAGATCCAACGTGGAAGCTAAAGATGTGCAAGAAGTTATTATGGGACAGGTGGGTGTTAAAAAGAAAGTTATTGTTTATAAAACATAAAATAACTAATATTTACTTTCAAGGCTCTTACTGCGGGCCAAGGACAAAATCCTGCCAGACAAGCCTCCCTGGCGGCTGGTTTACCCATAGAAGTACCCGCCTATAACCTAAATATGTTGTGCGGTTCTGGTTTAAAGTTAGTATTTGATATTTTTTTAATATATTTCAAAAATTATTTAAATTTCAATAATTTTAGGACCGTGGCTTTAGGTTATCAATCTATACGCTGTGGAGATTCTAATATAGTTATCTGTGGTGGCCAAGAGAATATGAGTTTGTCACCTCACGTTATGCATTTGCGTCAGGGCATTAAAATGGGTCCCGGCACTATGGTTGATACCATGTTACATGATGGTCTTACCGATGCCATGCACAACATTCATATGGGTATAACTGCTGAAAATTTGGCCAAGGAATTTAATATTACTAGAGAGGAACAAGATATTTCTGCTGTAAAGTCACAAAATCTAGCAGAAGAGGCTCAAAAGAATGGCTATTTTGTTAAAGAAATTACACCGGTAGAGATTGTCGATCGTAAGGGTACCACCGTCATCGATAAGGATGAATATATTAAATATGGTACTAAATTGGAGAGTTTACAAAAGTTAAAACCCTGTTTTATACCAGTAAGTTAAGGAGAAGTACTAAAAGTATAATAGACTAATAATGTATATTATTGTAGCAATCGGGCACAGTTACCGCCGGCAATGCTTCCGGTATTAATGATTCTGCGGCCGCTGTATTACTTATGTCTCAGCAGGAAGTTGAGAAGCGTAATATTAAGCCTTTAGCTAAAATTGTGGCCTGGTCTCAGACCGGCATTAAACCCGAAGTTATGGGTCTTGGCCCCGTAACAGCAGTTGAAAGTGTGGTAAGTTTTTTTTAGGTTTTCTTATTTTATGAACTAAAAATCATTACATTTCTTTTAATTAAAGTTGTCCAAGGCAAACTGGTCTAAAGATGAAGTTGATTTGTTTGAATTGAATGAAGCTTTTGCTGCCCAATCTTTGGCCGTACTAAAAAACCTGCAAATTGATGCTGCTAAAGTTAATATTCATGGTGGTGCTATAGCTTTGGGTCATCCTATTGGAGCCTCTGGTTGTCGTGTTTTAGTTACTTTATTATATGCTTTAGAACGTACTGGTGGCCGTAAAGGTGTTGCTAGTTTGTGTATTGGCGGTGGCATGGGTATTGCCATGGCTGTGGAACGTCTTTAAATATTTTTGTATTTTACATACTTTGTTAAAAATTAATTAATTTATTCCTTATCTTGTATATTTATTGAAAAAGTGCTTTAACAATAAATTGTAGAATTTATTAAACAAAATTTTTGCGAAAATTGAAACGATTTTTTATAAATGTTTTATAAAAGTTAAGTTAAACAAAGAATTGTGAAATTTTTAATAAAATATTTGTCGGCAGAGATATTAACATTTTTGTAAAAAATTAAATACTTGTGAATTTTATTAAAAGTTCCTAATTCTTAGCGAACGGAAAAGGGTAAATACCCAATAGTTATATACCTTTCCCAGGAAGATCAATAGAGAATATAAAATAGGAATGTGTCTGTAGAGTTGCTATATAGACACAACAAAATAGATAAAAAAAATTAAAAATTTTTACAAAACTCATTAATACCTTTCGTTTGAATTGTATATCGAGGGACTATATTCAATAGTCCCTATCTAAAATAATACAAGTTTTCAGGAGAGCAAAAAAACTGTTTATTTCGCTAGTTAGTGAAGATTTTTAAATTTTTTCTTCTACAATATATTTCTACGACCATATACTAAACCCTTATATAAAAAGAATTTTAAATTTTGCATTATTTGCAAAATTATTCACAAATTTATATCAGATAGAGCTTATTTTTCTACGAAAATATTCATTCAACCAACAGATAGAGAGTTTTTCATGGAATATACAATTTTTATTTGAATTAAAATCAATAAATATTATATTTTATACAATTTAATGGAGGAAAATAAACCAAATTGTTGAAAAAGCAACAGATTATAATGTTTTGGTCCAAAATCAAAGTTATATGGTTAAACACGACAATAAAATCGATTTAATTAGTATCATAATGAGCGATATCTCAAAAACTATTAGACCGATTTTAAATATTTTGACGGATTTGTGTTCAGCATGTCCAAATTATTAAGAAGACTTGTTTTGCAACAGAAAATCATCCAAAGGGATAGATTTTGAAGCAATTTTTGGATAAGATAGAGAGTTTTGCATTCAGATTTTTTCTTTTTTTAAGATAGAGCAATTTAAAAAAAGCTATAAAATTGCCAAAAATATTTTTTTTCTTTGAAATTTATATCACTGATGCGGGATAGTTTGCTGAATATTTTGCCATCAAAATCTCATTTTCATGAAAATGGCAGATAGCGACTATTGAATATAGTCCCTCGATATTCTCTTTTCCTTTACAAAAACTTTTATAAGATTTTCTTAAGAAAACTGATCATAATCTTAAATATGCATTTTTTTAAAAAATTACCATTATAAAAAGTTTTTATAAATAAAAAACACATTTTTCTCGTATTATTACCTGAGGGTTTATTTTCGTTTTAAAATCTTTATACATAACTTTGAATTTATTTAAGATTTAAAATTACCAAGGAAAAAAAAAACAAAAAATTTCGTTTTAACAATTGAATGCATATATTTGCATATTTGAAAGAAATAAAACAGCATTAAAATTCGTTTAGGTATTTAAAAAAGCGACTACTTTAAATAACTGATTAATATTTTTGATAAAAAATTTGTTAAAAATTAAAAAAGTTCTTTTTACTTAAAAGAAGTCAAACTAAAGGGAAATTAACATTTATATTTAAAATACGTTATTTTATAAACATAATAGACTACATATTTAATAAAAATCTATATAGTTAGCATCTTTGTACGTTCAACACAGTCAATATTGTATTTTAATATTAAGCATAAGTTGGTAAAAAATATATTAATTTAACATAAAATCTTTAAATGTAATTTTAATTTTCTAAAAGTCCCTCAGGTTGTTGGGGAAAATAACCCTCCTTATTAGCACAATGTATTTTTTCTTCTATCGGAACTTCGGTCATTACATCCATGTGTGATACACACAATTGAGAATATTTTGCTATAATGCTGGACCATAAAGTAGGCGTGGCATTAACACAGAAGTAAGAACCCCAGAGAGGAGATTGTACTATTGTTTTAAATTCATAGTTATGATCATATTCTAATAGTTCTTCACTCAAGGCTAAGGTGTCTATGGAGGCCTCGGCTTTGGGTGTATAAACATCTTGTATAAGATTATCACCCACATACAGAGATCTAATTTCTTGGGGATCTTTGTGTAATACTTGCTTACATAGAGATTCTTTTAATTGCTGCCAATTGCCCTGGCTATAGCAAGTATTAGGTTTTAGGTGTTCCGTTAAAGTCAATTCACTGCCTTCCAGTTCATTTAAATTAGCAATCTGTAAAAAGGGTCTTTGGGCAAAGAAAAATCCTGGTTTTTTGGCAAAACCTATGGTACAATCGAAAAGATCACGCCACTGAGGACCCAAAGCATAAGAGGCAGTGAAGTTGGCAAAATCTATATTAGAACCCGTGAGCAGATATAAAGCTTTACCCGAGGCTTTAAGTTGTTTTAATAGCTCAATAACTTTCCTATCAGTTTTTAATAAATACTTTTCCGGATTCCCCTTTAAGGCCTCAAAATAAGCACTTGCTCCCGAGGCAAAATGTTCACGACTATAGATCTGTATCAAACCAGCCAACATATCCGGCCAGATTTTATAATCATTTTTCGTCAATTTGTTATTAGCGGCCGTCCTATCTAAAACATCCACCGTCTGAGCAAACACCAAGGAAGAGGCTATATCAAAATAATCCAATAGAGTTCTTAACTTATCTGCTAGAGGGCCATTCCAAGCGGATAAAGGATCTTTTATATACTGCTGAGCTACATCCCATTTTCTGGCCTCGCCATAAACTTGACTAATATCCTTATCATCCATAAATCTTGTGCCATGTGCCGCTTTCAAAATCGTGCCATCAGAGCTTAATTTTAAAATATTGCCACGATCACTATCAATAATCAAACCTTTTTGTATAAATTGGCTATCAAACTTCTGCTCCAGCAGTTCTTTGGGATAGTTCTTTTCTTTCACCAAAAATTCCTTTAACAATTTATGTTCCAAAGGCACCATGTTATTCAAATCATATCTTAATAAAGTGCCATCCAAATCGAAACCTATGATATCGTAATCCATCAAATGAAACTCCTTAAAATGCTTCATTTTACTATCAGCTGAAGAATAACGTGCCAATTGTTTTACTGCCAGTATTGCTCCTCGTTTGCTGTTATTGCTTTTCGTATTATTTATATTTGTGCTGGCGGTGGTGATGTTGATACTTTGCTGAGCAGCTGTTAGACTAACATAATTACGTAATTTTCCCAGTGTAAACAACAATATCTTGTCTAGTTTAGCACTGTTTTGCACACAACGAACATTTAAACTGAACATTTTCTTATCTAGACTTTTTTTATTTATTTATTAATAATAAATTAATCTTATTTCATTGAAATGTGTCGTGATTATATTTTAATAAAATTTACTATTAAGCCAATTTTTTTAGTTATTTTACAATTTTATTTAGTCAATAATAAATTTTATAAACAAAATGATAAGGCTCCATCATGACGTCATGACTACCCCCCTAATCAAAACAAAAATAATCGATTCAAAAGTAATCATTAGTAAATTAAATAGGGGGAATTAACTCTAGAGGTGCCAATATGTTTGCAAAAAGTATTGTAATAGGGTTAAGTAATAGTTTATTAAAATTTGTAAAAATTCAATTCAAATTGAAATCTATATAAATCGACTTTCAAACAAATGAACAATTAATTTTTTGTCGGAAAATGTCGAAAAGTAAAAAAAAGTCGAAAAAAAAGTTTGAAAAGTCGACAGTATAGAAAAAATTCCGCACGGGATAATACGGAGGGCGATTTAAATAAAAAATAAGAATAACATGTCGAGCGAGGGACTATATTCAATAATATCCATAGTAGTAATAATATTTTCCTACTATGATAGTAATTATCTTAATTAACACAAGATTTCATGAGTGCAAATAATCTGCATATTTCGCTAGTTCGTAGAGATTTTTAAATTGTTTCTTTGTCGTGTGCACCCTGTAGTAGAGCTACTGAATAGAAGAAGAAGAAACTTAAACAGGTGGCAACACAATGAAAAAGGGATTTTTTTTTTTTTGTTTTTTTTTGTGAGAAAGAAGAAGAGGAATAAAAACAAAAACAAATAGCTTTAGAAAAAATTTTATGTAGGCAAACAAATTGCTGAAAATTTGTTGAAGCCATATTGGTAACCGAGGTTTCTCGATGCCAAAAGAATAAAATGATCGGTTAAATAACATAAGCGGCGGTAAGTAGGGAAGGTGAATGTTTGCAGGATAAAATTTTGGGACATCCCTAATATTAGGATGTCATGGCGGGGTTATCCACTCCCGAGTGGGAGGGTTTATACTGGCACAACATCTGCCAGCCGTTATAGGTCGTAGGTACGTTTCAGCAGGGAGACAGACAGAAACCTACTCGGTGCCCATTTATATTTATTTCGTTTATTTCTTTTAGCTGGTATGATTTTTATGTGTGTGTGTAGGTGTCTAGAGTGGTAGCAAGAACCACCCCCATCCGGCGAGCTCCAAGCCCGGCGAACGCGAGCATACCAGCGCCGCTACCACTCTGGCAACACTAGTTTCTTTTATTTTGTTTTGGTATGGTTATACCATACCAAACATATACAACCACTACACTACATAAATGGCGCCCAACGTGGGGCCCGAATAGGTCCATAGCCTGATCTTTTATTAGTTTATCTATTATCCTATTTAGTCATGACAACGTAAGTCCTGTTAGGTCATACCTAGAGTCCCTAATTGTTGCGACGTCGTCGGACGAAATAGTAAATTTAGTTTTTACTTTTCTCCATTTCAATAGATGGGAAGCTATAATTGTGCATGGTCAATATTGTACACACTTACGTAAGTCCCGGACAACAGGACAATTTTAGTCTAGTTCGCGTTGCGACGTGTGGTGTGAACAATATGGTCATGCAGAATTATAGATTCTTCAGCCTATCCTTTCCAAACAATTTGAGGCTCTCAGAATAGCTTTCCATAGCAAACCTGAGAATGCTCAAGTGGTGAAGAAAGAATAGCTAAGGCCAGCCCCCTTTTCAACAATAATCCTAATGGTATTTGTGTGAAAAAAAAAAACGTATGTTTTGGTCCTCAGTAAAGGGATTAGAGTAGTCCTAGGAGTTGTAGGATAGCCAACCAAAATTCTAGCTGCACTCTAATCTGGAGCTGTTGGAAACTAATGCCATGTTTTTTTCTGCCCATTTAAATTTCATTTAATGTCTGCATCTCCTGAAATCAAATTAGAAAAGAAACAATTAGAAACGTATCTACGAACAATAATACATTTTTACATTACCTGCAAACTTTACTTTCCTGAAATACACCGCCGATAGTAAGATTTTATTTAATTTGAGATTTCAAGATTTATCTTTGGTTCTTTTGGATTTGGATTTTGAGTTTTTTTGTGGAACGTTTTAGCTTTGTCGTTACGAACGTTTTGGATTTAGTTTTTGAATCTTTACTTCCTTTCTTTAGAATTGATTTTTTTGTTTCCTTTGGAAAAGAGGAATTTCTTTTAAAGTTGTTGCTTAATATTTATCATAGAGGTAAATAGTTATTTTTTTACTAGCGGTCTATTATACAGATCATCAATTTTGTCGTTTTATCATTTGGTGTGAGTTGTGATTGTATCATTTGGTCATTCCGCGTACTGTCTGCTAGGAATGGTTTTAACTCGCTCAGCTAGAAGTCGTTCGCAAGCTGACAATAGAAACACTCCCAATATGGAGAACGTTAATAGGACCACGGTATTAACTGTAGTTTCCACTTCGCACCCGACGTATACTATCGCCAGTACCAGTGCTACTACAACCACTACCACGTCGTCCGTTACGCCAGCAGTCCAGCAATTTATGACAATGGCCCATGAACGTTCTGGCTTTCATAATGAATCGGCCATTTCAAATAGCACGATTACATCGCCTGACTACAGCAGTATCACCGCCAGGAATGTGCAACAAGAGTTCCGAGCAAATGTCCCGCCAACAGCTCCTCAACCTGTTAACATCGTCACCACAGGAGGCGATATGTTTACTTTTGTGCGGGAGGAATTGCAACGACAAATACGGCAGTTGCGAACCGAATTGCAACAGGAATTCGGCAATGCTGCTGCTCCAGCTAATCCGCCGATATCGGTCCTTCAACCAACGGAGCCGCGAACACCTGTTCGGCAGCCAAATGCAGTGTTTAACCATCAGCCTGTAGAGCAGCAACCACCTGTTAGGCAAGGAAACAATTTAGTAACGAATCAACTACATCAACCTCAATTGTACATACCTGCTAGTAATTACCAGTTGCAAAATGATTTTCAACCATTCCAAGGACAAGCAGCTAACGCACAGTCGCATTATGTACCACCAAATGCAAATCCAGTTTTTCCAGCACCAATTCAATCCTCACAAGCTCCAAGTTGGCCTACTGACGGCGCATTCGCCGTTCAAAGAAAGGTGGATTTGTCCAAATGGGGCATTAAGTTCGACGGAACCTCGAAGTCCATGAGTGCTGAAGATTTCTTTTTTCGAGTAGACGTTCTAAGACAGGACTACAACTGCGCGTTCAATGACGTCCTACGAGGTTTTCATCATCTGCTAGAAGGCCAGGCGCTGGACTGGTATTGGAACCTACGTAAGTTAAGACCAATACAGTCCTGGGATGAGTTGGTGGGAGCATTCCTTACCCAGTTCCGAAGATTTGAGAACGAGTTCCAGTTACAAAAACAAATTATGGATCGTCGCCAAATGCCGATGGAAAGCTTTGAAAGTTTTTACAATGGTGTGATGAAGCTAAGAAATCAACAGCGAAACCCCTATTCTGAACGAGACCTAGTGGAGATTATGAAAAGTAATCTAAAGCCGTCATTGTCACATCTACTATTTTCCGTGACCACTTCTAGTCTCAATGAGTTCTGTCAACAGGCGAAAAGAGCTGAAAATTTAATCACCAGTCAGAGGCAGACTTTCCAGTCTAGACAACCCGCCCCAGCTCGAGTCCATGAACTCCAGTTTGGAGATGAAGTGCCTATACCAATCCTCGAAATCGACGCCTTAGCCACTAGTAGCCGGTATATTTGCTGGAATTGTAAGCAGCCAGGCCATAGTTTCGTGGATTGTCCTTCACCTAATAGACGCATATTTTGTTTTAGATGTGGTAGGGATGACGTAGTCACGCCTAAGTGCCCTAAATGTCAGGGAAACCTGAAGGGGAGCGAGTCCCAAACGGGGGAGACTCGTTCAACCCTAGCTTAATCCCGGTTGACCCTGGTATCGAACACTTTAGACCGACTAAAATTCTAGTTAATACTGTACGCATAATGCCTGCCGATGAACAACCTAAAGTTCATATAATTAAACCGCTTCATCAAAGAATTCGGGAATACGCTGAAGCAAAATCTAGGATTTTTGGTCAAGTATCGAATAGAATTCAGAAAGCTAGACTTAGGTATAAAATTAGAAAGAAGATCAAGAATGAAATTTTGTCTACGAGTTTGTATGAGGGCAAGGATGCTAGACTTTATCTAAAGATTAATATAAATGGTTGTGAGATTGATGGGCTGTTAGATAGTGGAGCCACGGTGTCTTGCCTAGGTAAGGGCTGCATGGAGTTAGTGGAGGAATCCGGTCTTCAAGTTTTTAAATTTTTGTCCTATGTAAAAACGGCCGATGGCAGTCCACATAGAATTGTTGGACGAGTAAAAACCAAAGTTAATTTTAATAATTGTTCTAATGAAGTGACTCTATATCTAGTACCTACTTTAAATAGGCCTCTATTTTTAGGGGTAGATTTTATGAAAAGTTTCGGTCTGTTTCCTAGTATATGTAGCATTACTACTAACGGGGTTAATTTGTGTCCGGAGTCTGAGGAGACGAAGGATGTAACCAAAACCCATATTCTCACTCCTGGGCAAAAGGCGGCATTAGATGTGGTGGTAGCAAAATTCCCGTGTTTCTCAAAGAAGGGACTCGGTCAGACTTCCCTCGAAACCCATACAATCGATACCCGCGACGCGATCCCAGTGAAGGACAGGCATTATCCCGTCTCACCGGCTGTGCAGAAGTTAATGTATGCAGAGCTGGACAGGATGCTTGATCTTGGGGTCATAGAGCAGAGCGAGAGTCCTTGGAGCCATCCGGTTACTCTCGTCCGTAGGGGCGAGAAGAACCGATTGTGTCTGGACGCTCGTAAGCTAAATGCCCTCACGGTCAAGGACGCCTATCCGCTGCCGCACATCGAAGGTCTGCTCAGTCGGTTAGGGGATACGTTCTTCATATCCAGCGTGGATCTCAAAGACGCGTTCTGGCAGATACCGTTAGATGCATCTAGTAGGGAGAAGACTGCATTCACGGTGCCGGGGCGACCACTTTACCATTTTACGGTCATGCCTTTCGGGTTGTGTAACGCAGCCCAAAGGTTATGCCGTCTGATGGACAAAGTGATCCCTTCAGCACTTCGTGATAGAGTTTTCGTCTATCTAGATGATCTTTTGATCGTATCTCCAGACTTTGAGACTCACCTGGAGTTGCTGGATCGGGTAGCGCATTGCCTGGATTCGGCGGGTCTGACCATCAACGTAGGGAAGTCGAAATTTTGCTTCAAAGAGTTGAAGTACCTAGGGTATATAGTAGGAGGAGGGAAGTTAAAACCTGACCCAGATAAAATCGATACGATTTTGAAATATACCTACCCGAAAACCGCCAAACAGGTCCGAAGCTTCATGGGAGCTACGGGTTGGTATAGGCGCTTCATCCCCGACTACGCTACCATATCAACACCTATTTTTAACACCCTTAAGAAAGGAAAAGGTTTCAACTTTCCGGACGAAGCTAAGGAAGCCTTCGACAAGCTAAAGTCCGCCCTCACAACAGCACCAGTGCTTATGCATCCCGATTTCAACAGGCACTTTTATGTCCAATGCGATGCATCAGACATAGGTTTGGGAGCAGTTCTGTTCCAGAAGGACGAAAACGACGGCGAACATCCAGTAGCCTTCTTCTCTCACAAATTGACCAGTGCACAGAAGAACTACTCGGTTACCGAGAGAGAGTGCTTGGCCGTAGTGATGGCCATTAAGAAATTCCGGCCTTATATAGAACTTTTGCCATTTACAGTCATCACGGACCATAGCAGCCTAAAATGGCTTATGTCCCACAAAGACCTCAGTGGCAGACTAGCCCGATGGAGCTTACATTTACAGGCCTTTACCTTAACCATCGAACACCGGCCCGGATCCAAAAATATCGTTCCCGACACCTTGTCGAGGTATGACATGGAGGAAGTATCTGTGGAGGTAAATAATTTAATAGATTTAGAGTCTGAGTATTTCAAAGGTCAAAGTTACCTGGACTTAATCGCCAAAATCAAGGAAAACGCTGAAAGCCTGCCAGATTTGAAGGTCGTGGATGATCTGGTTTACAAGCGGGTCCTCCCATATGACGGGGTGCCGTTAAACGAAGATTTTGCCTGGAAGTTATGGGTTCCACTAGAGCTTACTCAAGAAGTAATTGCGAAGTGCCACAATCCGCCTCAAGCCGCTCATGGAGGTTTTGGTAAAACGCTCCGAAGGTTAAGGGAATATTTCTACTGGCCCAACCAGAATGTTCAGGTCCGATCATTTGTGGCCAATTGCCAAACCTGTCGCGAGACAAAACCCGCGAATTCGATCCTAAGACCACCAATGGGAGCTGAATCTACAACGGAACGACCGTTCCAGAAGATCTTTATAGACTTTTTGGGGCCTTATCCACGGTCAAGAAACGGAAACGCTTACATATTCATCGTCCTAGACCACCTAACGAAATATGTACTGCTCAAAGCTATGCCCAAAGCTAACACGAAAAACGTCATCAAGTTTCTAATATCCGAAGTGTTCCACAAATTTGGTACACCTGAGACGATTTTGTCCGATAATGGCAAGCAGTTTATTAGTAAAGAGTTTCAGGATATGGTAACGAATTTTGGCGTAAAGCATGTAAAAACTGCCACGCACTCGCCACAAGCCAACGCTTCGGAACGGGTTAACCAGTCCATCCTGTCCGCAATTCGTTCCTACCTGCAGGAGGACCACACTGAGTGGGATAAGTACCTGTCCGAAATTGAGTTTTCGCTGCGGTCGTCAGTCCAAACGTCTATTGGAGTTACGCCGTACTTCGCACTGTTCGGTATGAACATGATTTCGCACGGAAGTGTATATAAGCTTGCTAAGAAACTACAATGTCTTCATGATCCGGAAATCGACATAGTACCAAAACCCGTAAAAATGGACTTAGTACGGCACAAAATTCGTGAGAATCTGCACAAAGCATATTTGAAAAACGAGAAGACATACAATACCCGTTGCCGTCAAGTCAAGTTTGTACCAGGCCAAGAGGTTTATCGCCGCAACTTTCAGCAAAGCGATTTCAAAAATAATTTTAATGCTAAACTAGCCAAGAAATTTTTAAAATGCCGAATTGTCAGACCTATTGGAAATAGCCTATACGAGGTTGAAGACCTTCAAGGAAAATCGTTGGGGGTATTTCATGCCAAAGATTTGAAACAATAGTTTCAACATCTTTGGTGGTTCTAGTCCCAACGATTATACCTACTCCTAGCTCGAACCAAAATGATAAAACCTATTTTATTTTCTGTATTTTGTATAAATGAGTTAGTAGATACTTTCTACACAAAACATTTTGTTAATGATATTTTGCCTTGATTATATTTAACACTTTGTTTCTTTTTTAGTGAAAGCCTACGACCAGGGAAGTTCATTTGTGTTGTGGAACAGTAAACAGTCGTGATAGTTTGCCCGTTAACGAGTAGTTCGCCGAGTGCTCAACCAGACTAAATATATTAATTTTCGTTTATGACCACGTTGTGATCGTCAGACGCTAGTCATAGATGCAATTCCGTCATAGCACCCTTTGGAACCATGCGCTCAGGGTTAGGAATTATTAGTCATCTAAGCGCTGACTAAAATTTGGCAATTTGAATTGTCTGGGAGCAAAGCTGCGACGAGTATCCAACAAGCGTTTCGGGTAGAAACACGTGAATTACTCGTTAACAGGGAAATCTATCACTACGGAATGTTGTTCTCACAACACGAACTATTCCTGGCAAAATAGTTTTTTTTCTAATGGAAAACATTATGATCTTAACGATCAAGAAATAAGGCAATATATACCTATAGTTTGTTTTTAAATCTAATTTAAATACTAAATCTACCGTTAGACTAACCAGAATAACGTAAAATTAGATGTTAGTATAGGTAACTTAAATTTTTCACTCACCAGTATTACACTCGCTGATAGGAACTTTTTCCTCAGTGGGCTGGTATTGTTGATTTTCTTCAGGAACCAAAATTTGATGATTAAAACCTGTGAAAGGAAAAACAAAACGATTAGTATTTGGTCTAAAGTAAATTTTGATGCTACAAGTAATTTTCAATATCTAATCATTTGATTTAGATAAGTTCAGTATTAGTTAGTACTTACGTTTTTAGAATAATAATTGGGTTCATATACCGCATTCAAGCTTCCGGTCCAGGTCCAATCTGAATTTATAACCTGTGGAAGAGAAATAAAATATAATTAGTTGAATTAATTTAACCTAGCTTTTTGTAATCTTCTAAAAGGACAAAATGAATTCCAAGCTAAGATCAAATCATTTTTATTTATTATTCCTTTTAGAAAATTACACTTTATATATATATTTTTCTTTTTTTTTCAAAATAATTTTATTTTTGAATATTTTTACTTTTATTTCCGGAGAAATTGTAAGGGGTATTTATCGCCAAAGTCTCTAGACGTTAGTCTATGAGCTTTGGTGAACTTAGTCCTTACATTTCTACCAAATTCTTGCGATTAAGTCGTGAATATAAAGAAAAAACTTAATACAAGTGAAATTATGTTTCATTTTATATTATTTAGTTTTAGGTTTATTACTTACCTTTCCTGAACGGAAGCAGTAACCAAGGCCAAATCCCAGGTCCAATTGAATTTTATTAGCTGAAAGTAAAAGAAAATTTATAAAATTATTAATTTTGAATTAAAGCAAAAAGATATTTTAATGGGAGAAATAATTTTATTTTCACTTTTCTTTTATTTTATCCATTTGGGATTGGTTTGATTTTTTAGAGTTTTCTTTATTAATTTTTCTTTTGTTTTGGTTACAAAAGGTTTTGGTCACGGTTCACTTCATTTTTGTTCACACAAATAATTTTGTTTTAAATTTAACTGATTCACAAATTCTGATGGCCACTGTAAATTTTCAAACTTTAGTTTCCGTTGGTCTCGCTTATTAGATCCAGTCACTAAAAATTTTCACGTTTTTTTACACCCACTGTATTTGAAAAAAAAAAAATATTTCACTGTCACTTCACTTTTTGTTCTCACTGTATCTTCCAAATTTAAATTTTAATTTTTTTTGTCACTTTTCAGAACCACTCTAATTTCTTAAACAATTTTCTTTTTCCAACTTTTTTTCATTAAATTAATTTTTTTTGTCCGAACACTTTTTACACGCACTGTAAATTCCAAAATAATTTTTTTTTACCCGAATTCACTTTTTCCAAAACCCGAACCGAAATTATTTTAAATTTATAAAAATTTTTTTATTTTATTCGATTAAATTTTTTTTACACGGCACTCACACTTTTGACGTACACTGTAACCAAAATTTTTTTTTTATGCACCGAACCACATTTTAATTTTCACTAAAGTCCACTTTTTATATTTCAAATATAATCCATTACACTTACCTTAAATTTCCGGAACCACCTTAATGCCTAGTCCACCGGCCCATCTGGAACAAAACCTGAAAAATTTAAAACAAAATTATTAGAAAATTTTATAAAAATAATTTCCACACTTTTTTTTTTACTTACCAGTTCATTCTGCTTCGATCCGCCATCTTTCAGAATCGGCCATCAGTTTTTTATATAAGCCCAAGGCAGCCAACATGATCCCTGTAAAGAAAAGAAAAAATTTGGTTGTGTTAGTTAACAACACCACTAATAAATTTTTCTATCACTATGTTTTTGTTACTTACCTTATTTAAAATCCCCTTATACGGCCATAGAAATCCACCAGAACCTGTAAAGATACAAAAGAAAAAATTATTATATTGTTTTAAACTATTTAAATTAATACTTTTATTATTTTATTGTTTATTAACAAAAAAATTACTTACCTCGTTGTATCCATTGATATTTTTTTTGTTTGGGTGCTTCTTCTTCACCCACGCGTAGTATTTTTCTTATTTGCCTCCTCCTTTTCCATTCATTCAAGCAGCTGTTCACAGTACGTCGCCGCCTGAGTAGTTTTTAACGGCGGTACAGAGTTGTACTTTTGTTCTCGAATGAATAAGGGTTGCCATAGTGCAAATTTTTTGTATGGGAATAATGAAATACCCAAAATCCCAGAAAAGTTTTAGGACATTAGGGTAGTTCAGAAAAATTAGGGCGCGTTTTTTTCCCTCCCATCCTGTATCCAGGGATGGATAACAGGAGTGGTGGGGTTTGTCGTGTGCACCCTGTAGTAGAGCTACTGAATAGAAGAAGAAGAAACTTAAACAGGTGGCAACACAATGAAAAAGGGATTTTTTTTTTTTGTTTTTTTTTGTGAGAAAGAAGAAGAGGAATAAAAACAAAAACAAATAGCTTTAGAAAAAATTTTATGTAGGCAAACAAATTGCTGAAAATTTGTTGAAGCCATATTGGTAACCGAGGTTTCTCGATGCCAAAAGAATAAAATGATCGGTTAAATAACATAAGCGGCGGTAAGTAGGGAAGGTGAATGTTTGCAGGATAAAATTTTGGGACATCCCTAATATTAGGATGTCATGGCGGGGTTATCCACTCCCGAGTGGGAGGGTTTATACTGGCACAACATCTGCCAGCCGTTATAGGTCGTAGGTACGTTTCAGCAGGGAGACAGACAGAAACCTACTCGGTGCCCATTTATATTTATTTCGTTTATTTCTTTTAGCTGGTATGATTTTTATGTGTGTGTGTAGGTGTCTAGAGTGGTAGCAAGAACCACCCCCATCCGGCGAGCTCCAAGCCCGGCGAACGCGAGCATACCAGCGCCGCTACCACTCTGGCAACACTAGTTTCTTTTATTTTGTTTTGGTATGGTTATACCATACCAAACATATACAACCACTACACTACATCTTCTGCGACTATATTTAAAACCCTAATATAATTAAGGCATTATTCATAAACAAGTTTTTATTTTATAAACGGTTTAATATTAATAAATATTATGTAACAAAACAATCTGGTCCGAAATCTAATTTGTATGATTAAACACGACAATAAAATTAAATTAATTGGTATCATATTTTAAATATTTTTGCGTATTTTTTGTTGAGCATTTCCAAAGGAGTAAGAAAACTTGTTTTGCAACATAATATTATTTTTTGTTTATGAAATTTATTTATTACAGAATAGCGACTCTAATCGGCTGCAATTCCGACTCCGATTTATTTAAGCAATTTATTGACGAAAAACTAATTTCTGAAAGAGGCTTTATATGGGGGATAGGAGCAAATGTGGACCGATCCCGATAAAATGGGCTGGATAGATTTATACTTATATATTGTCTTGCAATAACAGTGTAAATGAATTGTGGGTATTCAAGTCACTAGGGTCAAATGAGGTTCGATTATTTCGAAATTCGGCAAGGTCATCAAGGCTTGTATAAAACTTAGTTGTGTACATAATTATGAGCTCAAAAGCCCTTTTCGGGGGTTTAATTGTATGGTGGCTAGGTGAAATAATGGACCAATTTTAACCATACTAATAGGCTTAGTCCTTGGGTCAAAAGAAACGTGTATTCCAAATGTCATCAAATTATCTTGAAAATTGCCACCTGTACTTTGATAACAACGTTTAATTGGACACACGGACGGATGGACATCGTTAAAATATTTTACAACACTTCTTCGTCATTTGGCTAGTAGGTTTGAAATTTTAAAGTTTTTTTACAATAAAACAGAATCACGAAATAAAAAACTGTGATGCAGTTTTGCTCCATTTAATCACTAGTTTCAGACTTATATAATCTGGTTCGTGTCTAATTTTGAGTGTCGGACGGTTTAACCGATATAAACACAACATATAACCTAAAAAATCAAATAGAAGACAGAATGGACTTTCATTTAATGTAAATTGCAAATTCCTAGTCCATTTAAGGTCATAGAATTAATTTTCAATATTTTTGTAAATTATTTCATTAACTTTGCATGTTTAGTTATTATATTCATTTAAATTGTCATTTTATGTTTTATGGAAACCTAAATATGCAAATGAAAGTTTTTATGATGCGTCGTATGAACTCATGGATAAGATATTTACACGTTTCAGACCAATTTAAGAATTTTGGCACCGATTTGTTAGCACAAATTTTTGCCTATTTTATCCATAGGAGCATAATTATGCATGATTTGACTTTTGTAACATATTTATGTTATATTTTCGAGTTTTTAGAGCATATTTTACTCCTCTATTGTATATTTGGATTTGGATGTTTTGTTCTTTATTTTTTCATTTTTGTACATTTAAAAAAATTTTCACTTTTTTTAATTTTAATATTTTTTTTTTTTTAAATTTTAATGCGACTTCGAATTTTGAAAACAAAAACTATTTTCGTTTGTAGAGCTTGAAAACAGCAAAAAAATACAACTAAACTATTATTGTATACATGTTTCGCTAATTGTAAACATTTTAAAACATTGAAATATACCTAAAATGTTTATAAATTGCATAAAATAGTAAAAATTAACGTTTTGTTTTAATTACAATAAATCTTTAGATTTATTACTTGTTTTACTACATTTTAATGTAGTTCTTTATTCAAAACTATAATAAAATATTCGTAAAAAGTAACCTTAAAATATTTGAATAATCGACAAAAATTGTTATATCAACTTTTTCATGTTTTATGTCAATCATTTAAAGCCTAGGGTTATTAATTAAATTTTAATATTATTTATTAAAAGTGCATCTTAATTTTATTAAGAAAACTGTTAATCTCTGCTGTACCGTTATTTCTCTAATATACAATAATAATACAGCACTAACTAAAAATCTTCATAATTATTCAACAATCTGGTAATGCTTATTATTAAATTGTCAAACTAAAAACAACGGGTTTTTTCTTACTTCAACATAATAAAGTTCCCTCTATTTTTGACATTTCGGTTTAACATTTTTTTTGTGGAGAACACACAAGTTTTGCAGAAGTTTTTACATAATATTCTTCTAAGAAATTTGGGGTAATTTTAATTGAATTTAACAAACAATTCAATTGAAAACGAATAAAAATATTAACTATAAACATTATTCTAGGCCCATTCAAAATGTCGCTAACACAAATTGCCCGTAATTGTGCCCGTTTGGCAAGAGCCGCAAATGGAATCCGTGTAATCACTGCCCAACCACAGATGCGTTTATTGCACAGAATTGCCATGCCAGCCATGTGCAATGGTGTTACACAAGTAAGTGGAAAAGGATGAATTAATTGTTCTAAACTCCCAGTGAAAAGTGCATATTGGAATAATTAATGAAAAAATAAAGCCCTAACCTCACTTTTGTTAAAACGTAAAGAAAAAGTTTTCACGGGAAGAGATTCTTATACCAAAAAGAGTTCAATCGTTATCAGTGTTTTCATGTAATAAACCAAATCGTATTAATTCTATAATGTATTGGTAAAAAGAAGATAGACCTTTAACAAGTACTCGTTTTGAAAAAAGATGATCCATCAATATTGTGTGTATATTATTAAAAATAGTACCTATCTATTATATATTTTTAATAATGGCTATATAGTATTGATTATATACCTACTAAACATTTAATGACTTCTTATTATTGCTCTTATTCATCTTTAGAACATTTTGAAAGCACGTACTGCTAATGTGCAAGTACGCTGCTATTCGGACAAATTGTCTATGGAAGATATTAAAGATCGTGTCTTGAAAGTAGTGTCTGCCTACGATAAAGTTACTAGTGATAAGGTAATTTATAAATACTGAACAAAATCATACTAATGTTTTGTTTTCTTTGTTTTATTTCTTTCTGTTAGGGGAGCAATAACTGGCAATGGCAAGCTGCACGCAAATACTCTGCAAAACCTCCACTATCACTGAAATTGATCAATGAGCGTGTATTGCTCGTCTTGAAATTGTATGACAAGATTGACCCAAGCAAGGTAAATGTTTTGCAATTGCCAGGCCTTTGCTTCCTTATTGCTAGACAACGTTTTTTTGTAATAAGTTTTTAAATCTCTGTTTTTCTTTCTTTTTATATTTCTTTAAAACTTCTAGCTCCGTGTTGAATCACACTTCATTAATGATTTGGGACTCGATTCCCTCGATCATGTTGAAGTTATTATGGCCATGGAAGATGAATTCGGTTTTGAAATTCCCGATTCAGATGCCGAAAAATTGTTGAGACCAGCCGATATTATTAAATATGTCGCTGACAAAGAAGATGTTTATGAATAAATGTGTTTTTTGTAAAACAAACAAACATTAAAATCAATAATAAGAATATACATACATAATTTAAAATAAAGAGGGCAAATGTAATTTGAGTCCAACAAAAGGACATTGTACATTTAATTCTAATGTTAAACCAAAAAAAAATATAAGTAAAATAATTTAAAATGAGCAGTTTATTAATCTCTGTAAATATTATCATTACAAGTTGGTTTAGCATACATTTTTAGTATGGCCGTCTTCTATGTACGACATTTACTACAAACATTTGTCATGACTTGTTTTAGGCAAGATTTTGGAAACAGCTTAGTTCTAGGCAGCACGTGCTTGCAAAATTATGTTAATGAAAATAGCTATTGAAAACTTCATTATGGAAAAACTTGGGCTAAATTCGATTCGAAAAATCAATATTTCAGATGTTAAATTTTTATTGAAAAATCGAATTTTTTTTTTGTAAATAAAACTTTTTGTTGAAGTAGAACCAAAAATTCAATTATTCACTAAAAAATTTAATTTTCAACAAAAATTCGATGAAAATCAAAATTTTCACCAAAAATTAAATTATTCATTGAAACAAAATTTTCACCAAAAGAAATTATAAAAAAATCGAATATTCCATTTTTTATCAGAAATTAAATTTTTGCATGATAAATCAGAACTTCACTCAAATTTTATTTTTCTTCAATAAATCGGGTCTGTTTTGCACATCCCTTAAAAGTACTTTAAGGGGAAATCGAATCTACGACCTCCGGTCTAACAGACTAGAACACTAATTTGTCGGATGTTTATTTGCTAATGAATGATGTTCGTTTAATAGATTTTCAGAAGTAGAACTCATATAAGGGCTAGGGTCATTTATAGACCAATCCAGGGCCCAAATTATGGCATACGATATCGATCAAAATCTCCATTTAGATTCTATTGAGATTTCGATCGATATCGTATGCCATAATTTGGGCCCAGGTTTTAGCTCGTTTGTTTTGGGGTTATAGAAAGAGTTATTCATCATTTCAATTCGAATCGAAATTTTCTTAGTTTGGCAACTTTGGTTTTACGCATTTCGATTCGACTCTCCGTTACATAAACAAAAACTAGCTACGATCGTAATGCAGAAGACACAATCGCAAAGCATTGAAATGAAATCGTATTGCTTCTTCTTTTTCTTACGACTCAATTTTTTGTTGGAATACCTTTTTTCGATCGTTGTAACTGAATGCGTAAACGTAATCGAAATACAGAGTAGGGGTGATTAAAATTAAATAAAGTTATTTTTCGGGAGTATATACATATGTAAATTTGTATGGGAGCAATATGACATTTCCAAATTCGGATCTCGCAGATATCTGTACTCTAATTTCAATATACAAACAGACAAGGCTTAACCAACTCCGCTACCTACAAGGACTTGGAATAATATATTTTAAGTGTCGGAAATGTATATCACAGAAATTACTAACAAGATCTCATATAAAGCCATGTTCTACAAATCCCTCAATCATAAATTACGCATTATGAACTTAATTATGATATCGGGTTAAAATTCTTCACGAAAATGTTTCTTTACGAAGCTAATTTAAATATTTTAGAGAGGGAATGGAAGCCGGCTATCAGGTGTATGCTGTACAACAGATAGCCGGCTTTTTATTACAACAAAGTGATTAATTTTTGCAATGGAATAACAAATACTTAAAATTTAGTAAATTTGACACAATTTCCATCTTAAGCAAAATAGTTAAGGTATAGATCAAATTTAAATGTGAATCCTCGCCAGATAAGAAATTTAAAGGCGACACCTTTTTGAAGCCATGCTTTTTTGCACTTACCTTCATGCTATTCTTCTGGAAACACACATAAGCACACTTAATGTAACAAAAATTTTAAAATAATTACATATTTTTACAAAATAAACTAATGAAAACACATTTTACAATATTTTTTCACAAACACTTTAGAATCTTGAAAAATGATGCGGCATTTCAATGTTTATAACTTTCTAGCGGTAAATTACTTTGACAGTTTGACATTTACAACAGCTTATTGTGAATATATAACATTAAAGCACAAAAAAATAACAACATGGTAACCTTGAAAACATACGAATTGGTTAAAAATCTGGTAATATTTTATAAACGTCATTTTTCAAATAAACTACCGCCTGCAATAACAAAATCAATATACAAAAGAAAATATCACAAATTATAAGAAAAATCATGTATTCGGATAAATGTTTAATTAGTAAAATGCTAAATGAGCTAAGTAAGATTATAATAAACTAATAAAGTAAACTTAATATTAATAAATTAATTTTTTTAGAGACCACACGCAATTCTCAAAGAACCCAGACAGCCGCCATTACAGATGTCTTGGACAAGTCTAATAATGCTTTATTGCAGATAGAAGCCTCCAGAAGTCTTAAACCAGCAACAAGCGATAATAATTCTACTCCCTACACCTATAATAAAGAAACCGTGAATGCCTTGACCCGTATTGTGGACAAATTTATGAATTTATTGAATGGCTGTGGTCCAGCCAACGAGCGGCGTAATTTTGAAGAGTATTTAGAAGCGGCCGAGCAAAGGTCAGAGTTTTTGGGCTGTAACATAATAAAATTATTGGCCATATGGGATACTATACAACAAATGCGTGTTGAGCTGGAAAACCTAGAACTTGAGATCAATAACGCTTATGATCTTGAGGAAGAAGATTGTTTTTAGTTCTTAACATTTTATTTCTATGTATTTCAATAAATTAATTTATATTAAAATTATTAACCGCAAGTACACAATAAGATAAAACATCCACTAAATACTCCAATTTGGTGGGAATACTATTGTTTGGACAATTCTGTAAGATATCTTGATGGCCGCGTATAAAGTTAAGATCATCCATTCTATTAGCCAAATCCTCTAAAGTAGTTTCCTCTGCGGGTGATAAAGCGCATTTGCCCACTTTTTCTGTGGGCAATATTTTCTCTAATTGTTGGGCAAATACATTTAACTGTTTTAATTTTTGTGCATATTCCTTGTCTAGCTCCTGTTGCATTATTTCGTTATTCAATAACTTTAACTGCTTTTGAAACTTTACAAAACTGCTTAAAGTTTCCGAAGCTGTGGGCACATCCGCTTCGATCTTATGCAAATTAAACAAACTAAGAGAATTTTCTTTATTTTGACTAGAGGTACTCGAACCGGTGGAATCATTTAGAGTGGGAGAGGATTTCGATATGGTAGAATTTAGACGTTCCCGCATGGGTGGTGGTTTTTTGGGTTTTTGCAAATTGGCTGGATACTCATCGAGCTTTTTGAAAACTTCTGCAAACAGTTCAATGGTAGGAGTAACCTTTGGTACATTATCGTATTTTTCATCTATTGCCTTTTCTTCCCTTTCGTATATGCCATAGAAATCCGTCAAATTCATTACACGCGGCACATGACAGACTTCGTGCAAAACATTTTCGTGTGTTTCATTAATGGCGTTGGTGATTTTATTAAAATTTTCTTGAGAATCCATATTTCTTTTTATGATATATCTGTGCTTTTTATATCGATTGTTGTTTTCAAAAGTAGGTTTTTATTTATACAGTACCTGGCGCGGAGCCATATTGATTTTTGTGAAATACAACTCTGTTTATAGAGGGAATTTGTAAGGGAAGAAATTTTCGTAAATGCAATTGTGAATTGTGTTAAAGTAAAGATAATGCTGCCAGATGGGTTGGTTACAAATATTTGAAATGTGATGGTAAGACAAAGAAAAGCTTAATTTTTAATGTTATGATAAGTGTAAATATTATGTTTTTTGCTTTAACAATAAAAACAAACGAAAAATATAGAGATTTATAAAATAATAATCTGTGTGATAAATATAAAAACAATTTGTAACATTAAAAATGTTTTACTTGACAAAAAGAGATTTATCGTTTTTGTTATATCCATCACCTTGATAAATGGGCACAATATAATTTTCCGATTCTATAAACAATACTTATTCCGAGTACTAGTATATAGAGCCATCGATTAGTTTGTTTGTCTGTCCGTATTAGTTTTCAGAAGAACCTATAGATATCTGTTAGATCGGTATCTACAATAATTCTACTTAAATTTTGAAGATATATGTAAAAATAATATCAATATACTAATATTGTTATACCAACTACAACTGTATTATGTGGTTATAGTATCCATATATAGTTCACTTACAAAAACCACTCAATCGTAATTAACTCATGAATTTGCAATGATATCGAGATAAACCCATCCTGTACTCTGTTTTAAATGTGAAAAATTATTTTACTCCCTTAAATCGATTTTTTTCTTTTAAATAAAAACAATTTTTGGATGTTCTCTAATAAAATAAAAAAAAAAATAATTATAAACACTATCTCAAGACATCAATCAATGTTTCGAATTCAGAAAATCAGAATAATTGTATAGACTCTAACATTATTTCTGATACAGAATATCGGCATAACATAAATATATAAAATCAATTTAATTTAAGTTCCAGATATAATGTATAATCAAATAAATTTAATTAATAAAATGTCTTAAAATAACATTTATCTAAAATTACATAAACAATTACAAAAATTTTCCTCTCTAAAAACATAACCTGCTTTATGTCTGCCTTTTAAAAATACAACACTGTTACTATTCAACCCCTCTGGCAACATTTTCGAAATGTCAGGCCACTGTGATTGAGGGGGAAATTTTTTCGAACATCAGAAAAACGGTAAAATAAGAACGAAGGTGAATTCTACATTCGGTAACACTGCCCTGTACATTGAAAACGAAGACGGCCACATTGCCTGCAAAAAATTAGCTGTTTCGTAATCGGTGAGTGCATAAGAAGTTGGTGTGTGAAAAAAATTTTCTTTAGTTAATTATTCTAGAAAATTATTGTGTTAAACTTGATAAAAATTATAAAATTTTACTTCCTTTTAGGAGCGCGTTCAACTAATTTCATTTTTAAAAGGGCATTAATAAGAAAAATCTATTAAAAATGTTCACTGCTGTACGCTCGGCCCTTAATAGGTCGGACAAGAAAGTTATATCACTACTTGCCCAATCTCAACGTGAGTATGCCAAGGCTGCCGCTAAGGCTGCTGCCGTTGCTAATGGCAAAATTGTGGCCGTTATTGGTGCCGTCGTCGATGTCCAATTCGAGGATCAATTGCCCCCAATTTTGAACGCCTTGGAAGTCGCCAACCGTAGCCCTCGTTTGGTCTTGGAAGTCGCCCAGCATTTGGGAGAAAATGTCGTACGTACCATTGCTATGGACGGTACTGAAGGTTTGGTGCGTGGCCAACAAGTCTTGGACACTGGTGATCCAATCCGTATTCCCGTTGGTGCCGAAACTTTGGGCCGTATCATCAACGTTATCGGTGAACCCATCGATGAACGTGGTCCCATCCCCACCGACAAGACCGCCCCCATTCACGCTGAAGCTCCCGAATTCGTGGACATGAGCGTCGAACAAGAAATCTTGGTTACCGGTATTAAGGTCGTCGATTTGCTCGCCCCCTACGCCAAGGGTGGTAAGATCGGTCTCTTCGGTGGTGCTGGTGTCGGCAAGACCGTATTGATTATGGAACTTATCAACAACGTTGCCAAGGCCCATGGTGGTTACTCTGTATTCGCCGGTGTCGGTGAACGTACTCGTGAAGGTAACGATTTGTACAATGAAATGATTGAATCCGGTGTCATTTCCCTTAAGGACAAGACCTCCAAGGTAGCTCTTGTCTACGGTCAAATGAACGAACCCCCAGGCGCCCGTGCCCGTGTCGCTTTGACTGGTTTGACCGTTGCCGAATACTTCCGTGATCAAGAAGGTCAAGATGTATTGCTTTTCATTGACAACATTTTCCGTTTCACTCAGGCCGGTTCTGAAGTATCTGCCTTGTTGGGTCGTATCCCCTCCGCTGTAGGTTACCAACCCACTTTGGCCACTGATATGGGTTCTATGCAGGAACGTATTACCACCACCAAGAAGGGCTCCATCACCTCTGTCCAGGCCATTTATGTACCTGCTGACGATTTGACTGATCCTGCCCCAGCCACCACATTCGCTCACTTGGACGCCACTACTGTATTGTCCCGTGCCATCGCTGAATTGGGTATCTACCCCGCTGTGGATCCTCTCGATTCCACCTCCCGTATCATGGACCCCAACATCATCGGTCAAGAGCACTACAACGTTGCCCGTGGTGTCCAAAAGATCTTGCAAGATTACAAGTCCCTTCAAGATATCATTGCTATCTTGGGTATGGATGAATTGTCTGAAGAAGACAAATTGACCGTCGCTCGTGCCCGTAAGATCCAACGTTTCTTGTCCCAACCTTTCCAAGTTGCTGAAGTTTTCACCGGTCATGCCGGTAAATTGGTCCCTCTCGAAGAAACCATCAAGGGCTTCACCAAGATCTTGGCTGGTGAATACGATCACCTTCCCGAAGTCGCTTTCTACATGGTTGGCCCCATCGAAGAAGTCGTCGAAAAGGCCGAACGTCTTGCTAAGGAAGCTGCCTAAGCACCATATACAACAACAACAACTCTAAAACTATAAGATCAACCAACATCTAAATATTTAACAATTATTCTATTCTAAGAATGTGTTTTTTTCCAAACAACTAAAATAGCTCCACAATGCACGCACTCCTCCACATTCTGTGAAAGTCGTCATTAAAATTATTTGTATCTGTAAAATGTTCGTTTCAAACGAGTTTGCATAAGTGAAGATGAAGTTATATAAAATAATACAATATTCAAACTAAAAGTGAATAAAAAATCCAAATAAAATTACGAAAAAAAATCCTTAAAAAAATTACATAAAAGTTATTTTCATTTCAAGGAAAATTCCGGCTAAAGAAAGTTTGGTTACATGGCGGCAGTGGTTGCATAACCAGCATTTTGAACTTTTTTCACTCATGTCGGCAATATGTGAAAGAGATAGCTAGAGAGAAGAAACATGAAGTAAACCATTGTGTGTGTTTAGTTAAAAAGAGAGGGAGAAGTAGTGAACAGATTTTTTTCACCGCAGTTGTGTTGTTGCTAATTCTCGTGTGTATGAAAAAATCATATGATAGAAATTTTTCCCAATATTTTTCCAGAAAATAATTAAAAATATTGCAAAGTTTTTTATTGCAAATTAATGTAAAAATTATTGGAAAAACAATTTAATAGCAAAAGTTTATATTCTATTAATTCAATTGATAACAATTCTAGTGTAAAAGATAACAATTCTAGTGAAAAGATGTCAGAAAACAACAACAAAAAATCGTTATTTGTTACGTATAATGGGGCAAAATACAAAAAACAACAAATTTAATCTTGCAAGGGGGTTGTCTGAGAAGTGTTGTGCAATAGAATTTGCTACAAATTAAATAATATGTAATGTTTTTTTTTTAGGTAAAAACATGACTTTTATCTGAAATAAATATTATTTCATTGTTGTTTATTTTTTGGCACAAATGCAATTTAATTATTATTTCATAAATGACGTCAGGAAAAAAAAGAAGATTCGTTTGCCTCTCCCTTATAAAAAAAAACATTACAAAAATAAATTAAATTTTATTAACCCATTAGTGACCGTTTAATCTGCTAACGTAATGTCTTTTGTAGATAGATAGATAGATAGATAGATAGATAGATAGATAGATAGATAGATAGATAGATAGATAGATAGATAGATAGATAGATAGATAGATAGATAGATAGATAGATAGATAGATAGATAGATAGATAGATAGATAGATAGATAGATAGATAGATAGATAGATAGATAGATAGATAGATAGATAGATAGATAGATAGATAGATAGATAGATAGATAGATAGATAGATAGATAGATAGATAGATAGATAGATAGATAGATAGATAGATAGATAGATAGATAGATAGATAGATAGATAGATAGATAGATAGATAGATAGATAGATAGATAGATAGATAGATAGATAGATAGATAGATAGATAGATAGATAGATAGATAGATAGATAGATAGATAGATAGATAGATAGATAGATAGATAGATAGATAGATAGATAGATAGATAGATAGATAGATAGATAGATAGATAGATAGCTAGATAGATAGATAGATAGATAGATAGATAGATAGATAGATAGATAGATAGATAGATAGTAGATAGATAGATAGATAGATAGATAGATAGATAGATAGATAGATAGATAGATAGATAGGATAGATAGATAGATAGATAGATAGATAGATAGATAGATAGATAGATAGATAGATAGATAGATAGATAGATAGATAGATAGATAGATAGATAGATAGATAGATAGATAGATAGATAGATAGATAGATAGATAGATAGATAGATAGATAGATAGATAGATAGATAGATAGATAGATAGATAGATAGATAGATAGATAGATAGATAGATAGATAGATAGATAGATAGATAGATAGATAGATAGATAGATAGATAGATAGGATATATAGATAGATAGATAGATAGATAGATAGATAGATAGATAGATAGATAGATAGATAGATAGATAGATAGATAGATAGATAGATAGATAGATAGATAGATAGATAGATAGATAGATAGATAGATAGATAGATAGATAGATAGATAGAT